CAAATAAACCCTTCTCTGGGCCACCCCAAAACCCCCAAAAGGAAAGTAAAGTGTGAAAGGGAAAAAAATCCTCATCCCACTGATGAATTTCCTATGGAGTCTATGCCTCAGGGACGATCTTGAAGTGAGTTCATGGAGGAATCATGCTGGTGGGCCGCGCCCCGGAGTAGGGCAGGGAGAGGGAGCTGAGGGTGGCCGGATCGCAGCCATGCTGGGACCGTGCAGCACGGAAGGCTGCTGGAGACAGGGGGACAACAGTGGCTTAACGGCTGTGCGGCAGGCCCGGATTTTCACGGGTTCCCCCAGAGAGGAGAATGAAGTCTTGGGACAAAAATGGAACCGTCGTTTTTGATCTTATGGCGCACAGGCATTGTGAACGCCACAAAGGGAAACAAACCACAGCACACAAATGGTTCAGCCCAGGGCAGTATTGACACTGTCACACTGATACTCAAGCCCCTGCATCCCACCCTGGGTGGAGGATGAGCGGGGACCTTCCTAGTCTGTGGGGGAGGGAAGCTGACCCGCCCATAGACAATGATCACCAGCGGAAGAATATTTAAGTCGGACTACGGGGAGAAGCGCCGGAGGAAATGGCTACCGATTCAAAGCGGTTGCCCCCAAGAACGAGGCTGGGTACGAAGGGAATGCCGGGCCCTTTTTCTTTTCCGTGATGCTGCGGATTTGAGCCGGGAGCCGTGCATATGGACAGAGTACCACTGAGCTACGCCCGCGGCAGTGTTTTGCTTCTCAGCCTGTGGGACATTTGATATTTTAAAACCAGGTGCACGCACGACTCTGATAAAAATGAGAATTAAGTTAAAAGGGGGTGCAGAGATGGGTGTGGCGGCAGCCTGTCCTCCTCCCCCTCTCACGCCTGGGTTTTCCTACACAGTCGCGGTATGTGCGCTCAATCTGATTATTCCGCTCGCGAGGCAAGCGTCTGGATATGTTCACCTCTGCTCCCTGGACGGGAGGACAGAGCCCAGCACACAGACGGTGTCCACGGACCAGCCGCGCCTGCGGCCGCCCGAGCTCCCGCAGAGGCTCGCAGAGGCCAGGCCCGAGCAGCCGCAGGACCCCTACAGGAGCGCCCGCTCGGCCACCAGCACGGATGCGCACGCACACTCAGGCCGTGGCGGCTCTGCGGGCCTTTATTGATCTTCTGCAAAGAGCCCCTCGTGAAGTCGGCAAATGGACAGCAGCAGGAAAAGACCCATGCCATCGACGCCCACAGAGGGGACGTGCTGTCGCTGTGCCCGGATGGCGCGGATCCTGGAGGGGGTGTGTGGGGGGAGTGGTCCTCCCTCATGTCTGCTCAACCCAGAGCTCAGCGTGAAAGGTGTGCCCGGCAGACAGGATGCAAGAGGCCGCCCGGGGAGCGTGGCCCCTCTGAGCGTCCCGGAACTCCTTCCCCACTCCAGAGCTGGGGTTGAGCCGCCTCCCGGGCAGAGAGCAGGTTGGCACTTTACCTTGGTGACTCTGACTCCCCTGTGCTTAAGTTTTCCTTGCTGCGCTGGCCCAAGATGGTTCTCAGGGCAGTGTGGTCTGATTAATGCCCACTTTCCCCTCCAGAGGGCAGTGCAGCGCAGGTAGGTCCTGTGCCTGAGTACCCACATGTGGCCCGCGGCCTGCACACCACCCCGCAACTGGCCCCAAGCCTGGTGGCCTTGTGGTCAATATGCATACATCTCAGCGGTGGACTGAACTAGTAGTTGGGCCTCAGAATGAGCCTAGCACCTCATTTCCCATAGAGGGTACACAGAGGTGCTCACACAGGGAAGGCTACCCTCGGAGCTCACCCTGTGACTGCTGGCAAACACACTTGCTCACACAAGTGCCGGGCACTGAGGCCACCGGAATGCGACTGCACAGCTTCCCGTGACCAGGAAAGCTTTGGGAGCCAGAGTGGCTGGCAGGACTGGGGGCCACAGGAGTGGCATGCCTCTCGTCCTGCATCTGCCTCTAAGACACTTCCGGGTCCAGGTCTGGGCAAGGCACGCCCCTTCTCTAGGCTGTGGAGGCCCCAGAGCACTGCCCACACGGACTGGACTGGACCGGGGACCTGGGAACAGCCATGAGCCCAGGGTGGAGGGCTGCAGCATCAAATCTGCATCTAAAAGCCAATCAGAGCCCCCTCCCACTGAGATCCAAGATCCCTCCAGCCAGGCCTTGTGGTTCTCCTGGACACAAAAGTGGGGGGAGTTGGGGGTGCTTTCAGTGCCCTTCCGGCCGACACCCCCAGATGAATCACCTGCAGCACTGCCTCCCTACGTCAACTGATCCTATAACTTCCTCCCAGAAACCTGGCTCTAAGAGGCTGTATTGAAGCTATTCACAGACTGCTTGGAAACCCTCCCCCCGGGGGTGGGGTGGGGAGGGGACTTGAGGCTGAAGTGAATAAAAAAATGTGGGATCTATCTATCACTAAATTTTTCTTTCGAAGGCTTTACAGTGATGTGGGATGCTTTTGTTTCCCTGAGAAAAAGGGTATGATTCAGATAAATTACTGACCAAAAAAGGAATAGCCCTGAGCAAAAAGTACAACCGGCTGCTGACTGGCACAGTGCTACACGGACAGACAGACAGACTGACACTGCAGCCTAGGCCAGTGCCTGGAGGGGCTCTGTTCCCCCACACACACACACAAGCCCGGTGCAGTCCCTGGGGAACAAAGCCCTCCAGGGTCCTGGAAGCTACCAGCTCCATTTCTGTCCCTACCAGTGTGCACACAGCATCCTCCTGTCGCTGGATATCCACTCACTGTACTAGGGGTACCCTCTGGAAAAGGGCTTCCTGAAGGCAGGGTCTGCTGAGCAGCCCCTCCCCACTAGGTTCCCACTGTATGATTCTGTACCGTGGTCTTATGCTTCTAGGCCCTTTTGCTGCTAGATCTCCAGTGGTTCTCCAGGCCTCTCTGCTCCTTGCACCTGCGCCACCCCCGAGAGCCCCGCCCACTGCCCCTGCTGGAGGTGGTGCTGTGTAATTATTCCTTCCCTTTCTGCTCCTCCAGTTGAAGCAGGAGAGGCTTGGGGCACAGGGGGAGGGGGCGGAAGTGACCCGGTGTGGCTTTTGTAGCTCTTGCAAAGATTATGTTGAGTATTTCCCAGGTAAAGGAGGAGCTGGCAGCCGCGCCCTGGGAGTGCGCTCTCCCTCAGATCCCTTCAGCAGCTCCTGGTGTCCGGTAGCAGGCGGCCAGCTGCAGGGGTCACGGGCCTGTCAGGCAGAGGCTGTCATGAGGCAGGGACTTCCTAGGGCCCTGAGCACAGTGGTCTTTGCCTGAAATGCCCCCATCTAGTCTGAAAGCCCTTCTGCTCCCGCAGGCTCTCAGCTGACATGCTGTATTACGGCATAAGAATTCACTGGGACTCCTCCGGGTGTCCACACACGCTGCCAGCCCTTTGCCTCCAGCCTCAGGGACCCACTCACTGGCTGGCCCTCCTGGGGTTAGCGGAGCAGCCTTGGGCAAAGCCTGGGTCTTGCTGTCTGTGCACACACAGGCTAGCACACGGCAGATGCTCCCAGAACACTTGGGAAGGGCACGGGCGCTGTCCTTGGGAGACTCCAATGCCTCTACCTTGGTTTCTGAGGCCAGGCCCCTGGCTGTAGTTACAGGGTCTCGGAACCTTTCTCTCTGTCCTCCACCCTCAGAGAGGCACAGACAGCCTTGCCACACTGGCAGGCCCCCTCTTCTCTCCCCACCCCACCCTGGATGAAGAGCAGAGAAGAAAGTCAGGGCTCTTCCCAGCCCAGCATGGGACACGAACTTATTAGCACCTCAGTGTGCAAAAACAGTCCTGCAGTCAGGGCTGGGCTTTGGGTCACATGATTCTGGGTTCAACTTCTTCCTGGCTGTTCCATTCTGGGTAGTCCCCTGGCTCCTTAGTGCCTCAGTTTCCCCACTGACAAACTGGAGCTGATTGGAAAAGGTAGAGTGAAGATGAACAGAGGCCATTGGCAAGCAGCTGAGCATCCTGGAGAGGAACTGTAAGACTTCACGCTTATCCCTTTGCCATCTATTGTCATGTTCGGAGCCTGCCCTGAGGGCTGAGTGTTCAGGGTGAGAAAGGTCCTGGCTGGGGTTGGGGGCAGATGGCCACGGATGGCCTAGCCTGGGTGGAGCTGCCACCCCTGGGCTTGGGCCTGCTCTCCCACTTCTTCCACCCAGTTCCCAGAACAAGCCATCCTGGTGGCTTTCATAGCCCTTCATCCTGTGGGCCTGAGTCATTTTAATACTTTTAACTTGACGTGTTACTCTTCGTGCTTTTGAATTACTAATCAAAGTCACATGAAATAGATGATTAAAAGAGAAAAGAAACTATTTTAGCTGTTATAATTATTCTTTTTTTTTTTTTTTTTTTTTTTTCCGGAACCGGGGATTGAACTCAGGTCCTTGTGCTTGCCAGGCAAGCACTTATTCTACTGAGCCATCTCCCTGGCCCCCTTATTATAATTATTCTTTATGTGGACCCTCTCATTTCAGATCTTGAGGAATTGGGGAAAAAAAGTTCTTAGGGCTATTATAATAACAATCCCTATTACCCTTTGATGCTTTCTAAAATTTTGGTGTTATGCTGGGCTTCACAAAGAACTGATACTCATCAAATGCTTGTAGAAGCAAATGTCTTAAGAGTGAGTGGAGGGTTATGTCTGAGATCAATTTTAACCTATTCTAACAATGAGAAAAACAAAAGGACATAGATGTGCACTTAACAGCATAATGTTGGTAATTTTTTAGCATCACTGTCTCTGTGCACACACAGGCCAGCACACACGCTAGTTCAATCTGCTTTTACTGTTGTTGTTGTTGTTGTTGTTGTTGTTGTTTTCTCTCTCATGGAAGCCAGGGCTTTTGCACTGAGCGACATCCTGGGCCCTGCTGTTTTTATTTTTGAAGACCAAGTCTGAGCTTCCTTCTTATATACGTGTAATAATTTTTCTAATTGAAAAAGTGATCGGGATGGCGGAAGAGCCTTCTGGCACACGGGGTGGGCACTCACCTTTTTATGGCTTTGTAACAAATGATGACAAGGACAGTCAGAAACACCAGAGAGGCACAACATACGGCGATGACGATCACCAGCCCCGACCACCAGCTTTCCTCAGCAGGGCACGAGGTCGAGTTGGGAGCTGGAAGAGACAGCAGCAGCCTGAGTCTCCATGTATGAGCTGATTGCAGCCGGGGTCAGAGGAAAGGCACGTGGTTGTCGCCCCCGGATGAGGGCCCTCTGACCTCTCCTGCCATCCCTGCCCCCACCCCGGAGTCCATGACGTCATGGCTGGCCTCCAGCCCAGCTGACCCCCATCCAGGCCTGGCCTGCACAGAGCAGGGGTTAAGCACTATGCCCCGCCATCTATCGTCCCTTGGCATGAGCTAACTGACAGCAGGGTCAGGTTTAATTTCCCATGAAAAATAACAGAACATCTCATTCTCTCAGTTGAGGCATTAAATTGGGTTCCTCAGCAGGTGGGGGTGGGGAGCCAGGCTCAGAGGGGATGCCGGGTGAGGAAGGAGAGAGAAGGAGGCCACTTGTGTTGGTTTCTGGAACCAGTTTCTCACAGAGCTTGGCTCTCTTGGATTTGGCCCAGGAGGGGGTGCCTGCAGCTAGCTCAGCCTACACAAGGCGGGGAGGAGAGAATGGGGAGAAGTCTATGCTTGACAAAGCATGTGACACTGGTGCTACAAGGCCCTCCGACCTTTGTGTGATCTGTGGAGTGCTGAGGGTGAGCCCCCGCCCCCTGGGATGGGCAGTGTTGGGGTTCACCTAGAGGCCCGTTCTCATCCTTCAGAGAAAAGCAAACATCCCCACAGCCTCACCCCAGAGTTGTTGAGAAGACCCAGATACAACTGGAAAGAAGTGTGCAGAATTGCAAAAAGAATGGGAAAGGGGAGGGAGAAAGAATGGGAAGGGAGAGAGAGAGAGAGAGAGAGAGAGAGAGAGAGAGAGAGAGAGGAAGGAAGGAGGTGGGAACATGATAAAGGAGAGAAGAAGGGATGCACAGACAGACAAGGCCACTAACTTCGGTCCAGTCTTCAAGACAAGATATATGCAAAGGAATCAAAATGACAACAAAGACTCTTGCAATGGTCATGGGCTCCTTGTGGCTGCAGTGGTTGGGGAACAGGTGGCTGGTCTTTATGCAGATGTGAGTTTGACTGCATCATCTGACAGCTTGGACAAAGCTGGACACCACTGGGAGCCACCCTTCCCAGCACCTCAGACAGACACCCCCGTGTCTCTCTCCAGCTGGTCCCCACCCTGGGAGCAACCACCACTGAGTTCTGAAATCAATTGGATTTGCTTGTTCCTGACATTTGTACAAATGGTATCATGCTAGATGCTTTTTAAATTTTTTCACTTCCTTTATTTAACACGGTAGCTTTGAGAATCATCGCTGTCCTTGCCCTTCTCTGAAAGGCTTTCCCTTGTGCCCACACTTCTGTGCCCTCCCACGCAGAGCAAAGCAAGGCAGACACCAACGGGAAGAAGGGAGTGGTTACAACCTGTAGCTGAATTCAAGGCGGCTGGATTAAGCAATCCAGAAACCATTATGTGCTTCCCAGGGGACTGGTGCTAAGCCCTCATTAGCAAATGCGAGGTCCCCAGGGTTGGACCTCGGATGTTCACAGAGCCTGAGCGGAATCAGCAAAGCTTCCTGTGAAAGGGTGGGACAGGGACACCTAGGGCTGCTCTGTAATGCCAAACCGTTTCCAAGCCCCAACATCTACAAGATGCAGAGCACTGAATTGAAAAGAGGAATGAACTCCAGAATAAAGGGAAGGAGGGCCCAAAGCGTTCTCATTCCCTCCATGATGGACTTGTTCAATGCTTTGTGGTGAAATACCAAGCCAGATCCTCCCTCAGTTCACGTTGGGGGTGCCGCTGACTTGCCTGAATCTTTCCAGGGAGACTCAGCACAGATCCAGGCTTCGCCTTCCCCACAGCAGCCGCCGCCGGAGGGCTCAGCAGGGCAAGCAGGTCACAGGAGGCTGCTCTGTCCACACTGGCCCCTACCCCCAGGTTTGCTCCTATCTTCACTTCCCCGGGAAGCAGCGTTAGCTTCTGTGACTCTTAGGCTATAACATCTCTGGGCAAGTCCCCAGGGCTGCCTTTCCCACTGATAGCCTAGGAAGGTTCCCCAATGTCCCCCTGTGGGGAATAAATCCACCCATTTGTGGTCACAGCCAGGGGCTGTCATTCAGGCCAGCAGCTCTTAGACAGATGGGGTCGGGGCTATCCGGTCTGCACAGTGCACAATCCCAGCAGCTGTGGGCACTAATGACAATGAACTAATTATTTCCACATAAGGTAGAATTGTCCTTTGAAAAATAGGACCCCCGTTCAGAAATGCCATCAACCTGGAATGCAGTGGTAGATTTCAGTGCCTCTTTGCCTTACATTCTCTATTAATGGAGTGGGACTTTTTTGTCATGATAACTTTTCCAAACACAGTTGACCCTGAAAGCAGGGAGTCCTGGCAGAGAGTGTCCTCTGCCCAGCATCCTCAGCAATACACTGAACGCTGGGTGCAACGAAGGAAGCAACCCCAGGCAGAGCTGCTCACGGACAGGAGAGCGGGAGGCATTTGCAAAACCCAGGCGAGGCATAAGCCTTGGATTTTGCTCAGGAAGTCAGCTGTTGTGCTCAGAGGCTGCATCCTTATTTATCCTTGCTTGAGTCAATTAGAGAATGGGAGCGCTGGAGGGAGGCTGGGAGGTGTCATTTCAGAAGGGAATAAATACTGAGGCTCAGGATGAAGCAGCAACATTCCCAGGGGACAGGGCAAGGACAGTTTAGGCTGCCTGCTAGGCCCGCCCTGCGTCAATCTCCCTCAGTGCTAGGTGCTGCCACTATCTCTCCCGGAGGGTTCATATCCAAGAAGGCAAATCCCAAAGGTATTCATTCATTCATCCATCCATCCATCCATCCATCCATCCATCCATCCATCCAGTGCCCAACACTGCGCTAGGACTTGGGAGTACAAAGAGAAATCAGACATAAACTGTGGCTTTACCAGGCCTGCACCAGCTGCCTTGTGGGTCACGACAAAGTAGACTAAGATCTGATCATCTCCCTCCAGGAGCCAGGCATCTCCAAAAGAAAAGACATGCACGAATCGCTAATATGCAAGGTGAAGTCGCTTGTGAATGAGAGAGGATGCCCTGGGTACTAAGATGGCTTAGGAGCGAGGGTGAGGCCGTGGGAGAGACAGCTGGCCAGACAGCAAAGGCTGAGACAGTCAGAGTGTCAAGTGCCAGCCAGCCAGAGCTCTCCGTCACTCCCTCTGAACATGACAGCAAGGCAGGAGTGTCTTGACCCTGCAGGGGTCACAACCCCCTCTCTCGTGAGACTCTGAAGCTGTCTGCTGTAAACACTCCTGCCGCCTACACAGACCACAAGACTGGCAGGCGGGGAGGATGACTTCAAAGGCCCCAGGCCCCGCTTATCCCAAGCAGAGGAGCTGTGTCTGCCCCATTAGCAGAGGCAGGCTGAAGGCTTTGGGGCTTTCGTTTCCAGCCAAGGTGAGCTGAAAAACAGACTATGAAACACTGGTTCTCTAAAGAGCAGGCATGGGCGTGGTGGCGCACGCCTGTAATCTCAGCACTGGAACAGCTGAAACAGGAGGATCACTACGAGTCTGAACTGCAAAGTAAGACCCTGTAACAAATAAAGAGCAGACATTAGGCAACAAAGACAGTGACCCCCCAAGAGACAAGAAACAAGTGGCAGCTTGCTGCCCTGAGAGTCTTGCAGTAGCGCTAGGAAAATGGAGAGTCCAGGAGTGACCAGACGTGTCCCCTTCCTTCCAGGGACCTCGGCGAGGATGAAGCCCCAGCACAGCATATCTAACCACCAATGGTGTGTGATTATACACTGTGGCAAGTGCCACAGGAGAACCAGGAGAGATCCAGATGTGCCACAGGTGCCTGGAGAAGAGCCCGGTGTGTACACGTAGGGATGACTGACTGGGTACTCAGGGAAGCGGAGACAAAGGAGCCCTTCGGACCCAGCCCAGGTCCAAGGCCACAGAAGAACTGCACGGTGCAGAGCGGCCTCGGTGATGAATGCTTTTCCTATATTCCTCGGGGTGGGGGAGGGGGGCTGGCAGCTGTGAAATGAGCCCATGAGGTCCCATCCCTGGTAGCAGCCATCCTTTCCCACGATGGCTTCAAGGCCCCTTCTAGGTACCACAGTGCATGGCCCCATTATAGTCCCCTCTTTGCAGTGGGGAAACCAAGGGCACACAGCCAGGGCCTGTGACAGCGCTGAGTCAGCTCTTCATGTATTAATATAGATGGAGCCAGTTGTTTCAGAGCAGCTGTGTCCAGATGTTTGACTGACAGAAGAGCACTGAGGGAGGGAAGAATGAATGGAAGAGCAGCAAAGGCCCTGGAAACTGCTCCGTTTTGCAACACAAAGTGAAACAGAGCCTGGTTCTAGCAGAAGAGAGACAGCCACGTTGTCTGTTGTGGAATCAGGTTTCTGCCTTGCATCAGAGGCTTGAGCCATGGTTGGCCTCATGATCCTCTGGGTGGCCACCGCAAGATGTCACCAGGCTGTATGGCACCCAGCTTCCTGAGCACAGCCTGAGTTCTCAGCCCTGGTGGGACACACTAGGCCTCGGGGACACCCTTAGACAGCTCTCCTTCCTTTCAAAGTCCTTGGTGACACAATCCCAGGGCTGCCTGTGTGGCTTCCCAACAGTTCCCTGAGCTTAATTAGCTATAATAATGCTCAGGTCAAGAGGAGGGAACTGGCCTGCAGGATCCTGCACCCTCAACCACCCAAGACCAGCCCTGTTCACAGGGATGGCTCAGGAGATGGGGGACATCTGTCCCTGTCTCCTTCCAGGTGAGATCCACCAGCTTGCTTCCCAAACACAGGACTAGCCCTGTCCTTCCTACGGGAAACATAGGCTGGGCTGGATGCAGAGTTGTTTCAGTAGAACAACATTAGTACGGCTTTGTGACATCATGAGGTGACAGGAGCTACATATCCCTGTGTTTAGGTCTTTAAGGACCTTGAAGGTCCTGAAGAGGGTACCTACAGGTACTTCTGTCTCCCACCTACCCTTAAGAAGAGTTTTAGGAAATTGTCCTGCTTTCCAAGGAAGAGTGGGAGCACAGG